GTATATCTTTTTAAGTATAATTTATTATCTTTTATTCAAGTAAATCTAAATATTTATTTAAAATTACGATTTTCTTATTAATATTTCTCCAATTATAATTCTAAATACTCAACTTATTGATTCAAATCTTTATTTTTTCTCTCATATTCTTAATGCTTATTTATATATTATTCTATTAAATCTGTTTTATTTTTGTTTTAATCCTATTTATAAATTACATAATACTAATAATTAATCTCTTTCTGCCTAAAGTTTTTATGATATATATTTTTCATTATTTAATTACTCCAATATTTCTAGATTTAATTTTTTTATTTTAAGTAATTCCTTATTTTCTTATATAATTTATTCATTCTATATTTATAAATACTTTATTTAATCTTTTAAATCACTTTATTATTAATTCTCTTAAAAGAAATACTCGTTTTATTTTTAAAGTAGTTCCTCACATTTTTATTCTTTTATATTATTTTTTTTATACTGTATTGTAAAAAGTCTTTGAAAAGTTTATCATAATTATTCTTTGTTTCATTTAGTTCAGATTATAAAAACAAAATTTTATTTATTAATTCCTAAGAACATCATAAATACAAATCATATTACCTTTTCTTTTTAATTGTTTTTTATTGATGAATGATGATTTTTATATTCTAAAATTGAGAATTCATCTGATTATTCTATAATACTAATGATTTTATTTTGATCCATTATTTGATAATCTATTTTATAAATAATAATCAATTCATTATTTTTAGAAAAAGAATATGAAATCATTAATTAAGTAATATTGTATTTTTATTTAAATTTGATAACAAAATTGAATTAAAGAGCATTAACAAATATGAATTACTCAGAATCATCAATGAGATTTTCTGATTTTTTTTTAAATTCCTGGTTCGTTGATTCTTTATTTAAATTATCTTAAAAGTTCTTGTTCTTCTTCAGATAAAAAATTATCGTAAGAATAATCAAAATCATTATTTTAATCATTTGAATCATTTTTTTTTAACAATCTTATCAAATTTTTGATTGACTCTATAGATTCATATTAAGATAACTAATGATCATAGAGTATTTTTAACTCTAATTTTGATAATGTGTGATAAGCTTCATTTATTCTATGAAATTAATCTAATGCAAATGCACGTTATTCTCTATTTTTATCCTAAATATAGTTTAATAAAATACAGGATGCCATCTTAAGGCCAATTTATGATATGCTTTCTTTATTTATTGTTATTTAGCATCTCTCTTAACACCAAGGATATCATAGTGATTGCCAATCATTAATTTTTTTCTTATTTGCTTAAAACTTCAAATTAATATTTATTATATAACTATAATAACTTCTAGAATCTTCGAAATTATTTCATAAAAACATTATAGAAATTATGATTTCTAAAAGGAACCAAATATACTTCTATACAGTATGAATATCAATTTTCAATTTATATCAATAAAGATAATATAAATATAACATATAAAAACTAAAAATAATAAAACCATCATTTCTTTATTTATTCATTATAATGTATCTCATCTTATGGTTCTAATTATTACACTTCTGTCTAATTTTTAGGATTAATCTTTGATACTATATATTCAATCAATAATGCCATAGTAACATTAAGAGTAAATAATACAACAATAATATAAAAACTAATAAAAAATATGTAAACTAAATCAGTATTAAATACTTTTGCATAATTATAAGATATAACATTCCAATTATTAATAATCAATAAAAACCAACATGTACACATTCCAGATAAAAAATCATTAAAATTTGCTAATTCATAATGAACTTCATTTTCATCAGAAAATAAGATTTTTCCTCCAAAAAGTAATTATCCAATTGCTGTAAATAACATAAAAAGTATAAATAAAGTACCAAATAATTATACAATATACTAAAAGATAGATGTTATTGAAATTATTAAAGTGGTAAAACTTTTATTCTTTAACATCCATTTACATCCTCTAAATAATTTATAACATAATAAAATAAGTAAAATTCTTTATTATTTTTATCCAATTAAATTTAAGATAATTAATAGAAGTATGGAAATAGAAAATAGAAATTCAATAATTAAAGATTTTTTTTTCCAAATCCTTCTTTTACCAGTATAAAATAATAGTAAAAGACATTCTGTAAATATTATTGAATTGCAAAATAACAAAATATATAATTTCACATGAGTAATTTATAAAAATATCATCAAAAATGAAACTAATGAAAGTATTTCAATAAAAATTTCATAAAATTTATTATCTAAAATTTAATATATAGATCTTGATATTACATTATCAAGGGATGTAATATCTGTTAATCTTGTAATATCAGATCCTGTTCTATTTCTAAAAAATTTCTAAGTTTAAAGACTAAATCTGTGATTATACTTTGATAAGATTTATTTTGTTTCTTTTTACATAAGATCTTTGTAAGATGAATAAAAGAAAGCTAATACTAAATTTATGATCAATATTGTGTTAACAAATTAAAATATGATAAAATATGCTACATACATTCTAGATTCTCCATAATATGGTAAATAGATATCAGGTGAATTAACTGTAGTTTAAAGTACAAAAAGAATTATGACAATGCATTTTTCTGGTTATGAAAAAGGAGGCTAATCTATTTAACATATACTGTTTTCTATTTAAGAGTTATTCTTTTTCTAAAATATTGCTGAACCTAATCCAGCAAAAAATATTAAAGAAAATATCATCAAATAATAGATCTCTTTTCCTTTATTAGCTATTTAACAAAAATGAAATATTGTAGAACGTAATGTTTATCTATTATCTATAGTGATTATTTATTACTTTTAAAGTATTATAAATATTGGTTTCATTAATAAACTGATATTGATGGGACTATTATTTTCAAGTACCATTACAATAATATCATTAATAATAATTAACAACGTTATGATGAGTTAAACTATAGCAATTCTCTTACGATATTAAGATTCTATTATGGTAGCTTTAAATACCTAAGAATAATCATTTAAAATACCTTATTCAAACAAAGATATAAAATGATCAGTATTTCAACACAATAATACAAATTTATTGGAAGATAAAAATCTATTATTTTTGGTATCTTTTAACCATTATAAATACTGCAGTATTCCTAAAATATTATAGTTATTACTTAATAATCAACAAAATTGCACCAAGTTGGGCGCTAAAAGATTGTAATTATTAAATATATATAAAAAAAAACAGTTCTTATTATTTTATGTTTTTTGTACTTTTACATTAACATCACAGATTATGAGTTTTGAATATAGGAAGCTCTGTCTTTTAATATTGTTTAGTAATACTTTCTAAACGATTACTAAGTCTATTTAATGCATAAAATGAAGCAAAGTTATTTGAATCATTATATTAATCAATATTTTGAAAATCCAGAACCTTACTATAATTAGAATATGATTCTTTGGCCTCATCAAGAGAATTAATATTTTCCTAAGACTTTAATGCATCATTATTTAAATTCATAATAAAATTAATTAGAATTAGTTAAACCTATTCAAAATATTACAGCAAAAGCAAAATTTAGATTAGAAAAAAGTTATTTTATAGAAAATGAATGAATAATTAACCAAAATAAATAATTTATAAATGAATTCCTAATAAATGCAACTTAGCATATATATATGATCAAATTTTTATGTAGTTTCTTTTAAGATGACAATTTTTATCTATTTTTCCTAAATATAGATTCTTACAATTCTATTATACTTATTTTTATTAATATAGACATCATATTAAGAAATATTTGCAAACTTAAACGGTAATTGAAACTCAACTAAACTATGAATATAGTAAAATAAATCAAAAGAAATCATTCAATATTATGTGTATGATTAATATTTAGTAAATTTGATGAACATTAATTGTTTCTAAATAAGAAATGTTATTTTTAAATATTCAATTAAGTTCTATTTTACATAAAATTTATATATATAAATTACTATTTATTTTCCATGAATATAAAGAAAAAAAAGAAATATTTTTAGTGTTTAATTCTGATAATTGTACTTTATTATTTGATATTTATATTATTATTATTATTATTAAGTTGTAATGAATATTCCAAGTGAATTTAAATCAGTGACTGATTATGCTGTGATTTGTGGAAAGAGATGCTAATTATTTGAAAATTTACTAAGAGGTAGAAAATTAAAGAATTTTGAGGATTGTTTATGTAATATTTATTATATACTAGATACTTGTGCAGAACATGTAAAAGATAATATTGATAAATTAGAGGTTGATAAATCAGATGAATGAATAATATATTTATATTAATGGTATTCATTTTTTTAAAAATTGCTTTAATTTTAAATCGTCTTCATCTATTTCTTATTCATCATTTTTTGTAAGAGCATTCTACAATTTGTTGGATTGTTTCTTTTATTTCTTTTCTTTTTTCTTTTACAATTATTCTTCCAATTATTTTCTAATTTCATCTATTGATTTTGGTTTTTCTTAAGCTTAAACTTAAGTCTTTGTAGTTGATTCTTTAATTTATTGTAATTTCTCTTTTACATCTAAAACAGTCACTTTATCAACTTTCATATTCATTCCTAGTAATCGATTATGCATTATAGAATTTAAATGATCTAACCATGATAAACTATCAGTAGCTAATTCATCACATAATTCACAATAGAATCCACTTTAATCTTTCTTTAATCCCTCTTTTACAACATTCCTTTTTCTTCCAATTTATTCATCAATTCCAACAGAATCAGTACGAGCTTATAATGATTTAGTATATCTGGGATTGTTCTTATCATATTCTTCATCTTCACGTTCTTACTAATTAATTATTATAAACTTACTTTATCAAATATTTTATGTTCAATATCCCATTTCTATTTTCCATATTCATCTACAGACTTTTTGACTACTTCTTCAACTCCTCTTCTATAAATTGGAATATTTTAGTCAGTCATTAAAGTATTTAATATAAATTATAATTATCATAATTTTAAAATAATATCCCATAAAGTAAATTTTGGAATTAATTATTCTAGACTAACTAATATTCCTTCTACTTAAAAAAGTAATTTTCTTTTTTGAATAGCATTAAGTTTAATTTAAATAAGTTTCTAATCAATATTATCATTTTATATTATCTATTATTATAAACAACTAATAATATAAAATGTTAGATACCTTTCAAATTTAATTTCAATTTTTGTTAAATTTTTTAAATTAGATAATGTTTTATTTAATTATTTAGTTGCTTATAATCCAATATTTTTCCATCTATTTATTATATAATAAAAATTACAATATGAGTTTAATTTCTGATAAATTTTTGAGTTTCTTAAGACATTTAGATAATCCTATTATTGTATTATCTGTTATTTCATAATTACCATCTCCCCAACCTTTCATATTAAGTTCAAAACTTTCTAAATTATTAAGTAAACTTATTCCATTAAATAATCTATCTATTCCTTTATCTGTTATTCTCTAATTTTCATAAGCCCACATATTCAAATCTAATTTAAATTCACTTAATTTATTTTATAATAAGATAGCTTAACTTAAATAATTTAAAGAACTATCAGTAATATTCTCATTCCAATAACCCCAACTATTTAATATTGAAAAAAAGTAATTTACCCATAAAGTTCTAAATTTAATTAATCTAATCTTGATAATTTTGATAGACTTTAGCTTAAATCCTTAACACTTCTATCTGTTAAATTAGATAAATCTAAATGCCATCTTTAAATTACTATTTAAATACTTCTTTATTAAATCAATTGATAAAATCTTCTATGATTGTGATAAAATTAATTCTGTTGATAATCTCTCTATACATTGATCATCTAATCTTTATTATTATTAAAATCTTAGGATCAAATAATTGGATACATCTCAATTTAAAAATATGGTTTTAACCTTCTTTCATTTCTTAGCATTTATTAACTCAACTTTTTCATTATTTTATTTTTTTTTATATATTATTTATTACTTTACTAATATCCTTAATTTATGATTGGGTCTCCATGATAAATGCAAATATCTGTGCAAATTTACTCAAAAGAATAATTTTTTTTCATTAAATTAATTATGCAAACTTTATTAAAATCAAATTTACAAAAAGCTCTACAAAATATTATTAAAGCTTCAGAAACAACTAATAAAAAAATTATGTTGGTTGTTGTCTCAAAAATAAAAAAATTGTGAATAAATTAAATAAGTATACAAAAATTACAAGAAAGAATATTAAAAATAATGAATTATTTTATTATATAAAATTATACCAAATTTATAAAATATATTTGTTATTTATTATTTATTTAATAAATACATAGTTAAACATTAATTTCTCAATGTCTAAAACCAACACCAATCTCATAATGACCTTTTTAAGATCTAATTTAAAGTGATTACTTTTTAATTAATCATGATAATATTAAAGTATAATCACTTCATATAGAATCAAATGGAACAGATCCACTACAGTATAAAAATATCAAAAATACTATTAAACACTTTTAAATTATTTCTCTTATTATCAATAATTAATATTTCTTTATATATTGTATTTTCTATAAACATAAATATTTTTAATATTCTCTTTGTCTATTTTTATTATCAAAAAAGAAAAGTAAGATATTCAATAATCTTCTTAATTGATTTTCTTTGATTATAAAAGATTAATTGTATATAGATATATTTATTATGAATGTAATATTATTAATCATTAAAGTTATGTTACTTTAATATTGAATGATCTAAACTTATTCAATAGTATTGTTATAATACTTTTACAATTATATTGAATGTGAAATGATTATTTTTTAATACTTTCATAATATAATTTTAAAATGTAAAAAGTGCATATTGCTGCCTTTACAGACGACAAAGTTTTTATTAATTTACTCGATGTATTTATGAATAATTTATCATTTTTAGAAAGAAATTGAAAGACATGTAAAGGAGTATTTTGAAAAGGATCAACATAATAATGAGAATAGAAATTTAACATCCAATAAACAAAAGAATAAATAATATTATTCATTCTCTATCCTTCATAAAAATAATGTTATTGTAAAGGATCATAAGAAAATAATTCTTAAAACATTTAGTAATAACACTAAATTTTGTGATATCAATTAGAACTAATTTAATGATATTCCATTATCTGAAAGGCTTAACAAAAGATATAATATTGTTTAACGGAATTGTTATTTTGGAGTTAAACCATAAACTTAATAAACTTAGAGATCAGAATTTAAATCAATAAACGACGAAATATTTTAATCTGGACCAAATAAAACTTAAAAAAATAATAGAATGGATATGATATAAGAAAGAATTGACATGTATTTATATTTTAATTTAAAAAGTTGTAAAGAATACTTAGCTAAAGAGTAATAGAGATTGAAGATGGTTGAAGAATAAATAGAAAAAAATGAATTTCTATTGGAAGAACTAGTTTAAGAACTTGAAATTGTGAATAGCAATAAAACAATCTTTAATTCTATAAAGAATTTAGATTAATAAGTATATAAAAATGAACTTAATTGTATTAATTACAGAAAAGTTACATAAGAACTATATGAATTTATCCAATAAATTTAAATAAAGTATTTTAAGAAATAACAGGAATTTATTTATCCATTTATTTAGAATTTTAAAAATGAATTAAATTTTATGCTTCATGAATATGAATCATAAATTTAATAAAATTAGGTAAAATGAATGTTAACTATTTATGCTTGAAAATTTAAATTTATAATAATTAAAGGAAACATTTTTTTTTGTTTCTTCAGCCATATGTGCAACATAAACTTTTGCAATTAATTACTGATTACCCAGAAAATTATTCAAAAGTTTAGCTCTTAAACCAATTTAAAATTAAGTTTATAATATATAATTTACTTTAAATGCAAAATGTAAAATCAACATTAAATTATATATTCATTTAAATCAATCNTGTTATAATACTTTTACAATTATATTGAATGTGAAATGATTATTTTTTAATACTTTCATAATATAATTTTAAAATGTAAAAAGTGCATATTGCTGCCTTTACAGACGACAAAGTTTTTATTAATTTACTCGATGTATTTATGAATAATTTATCATTTTTAGAAAGAAATTGAAAGACATGTAAAGGAGTATTTTGAAAAGGATCAACATAATAATGAGAATAGAAATTTAACATCCAATAAACAAAAGAATAAATAATATTATTCATTCTCTATCCTTCATAAAAATAATGTTATTGTAAAGGATCATAAGAAAATAATTCTTAAAACATTTAGTAATAACACTAAATTTTGTGATATCAATTAGAACTAATTTAATGATATTCCATTATCTGAAAGGCTTAACAAAAGATATAATATTGTTTAACGGAATTGTTATTTTGGAGTTAAACCATAAACTTAATAAACTTAGAGATCAGAATTTAAATCAATAAACGACGAAATATTTTAATCTGGACCAAATAAAACTTAAAAAAATAATAGAATGGATATGATATAAGAAAGAATTGACATGTATTTATATTTTAATTTAAAAAGTTGTAAAGAATACTTAGCTAAAGAGTAATAGAGATTGAAGATGGTTGAAGAATAAATAGAAAAAAATGAATTTCTATTGGAAGAACTAGTTTAAGAACTTGAAATTGTGAATAGCAATAAAACAATCTTTAATTCTATAAAGAATTTAGATTAATAAGTATATAAAAATGAACTTAATTGTATTAATTACAGAAAAGTTACATAAGAACTATATGAATTTATCCAATAAATTTAAATAAAGTATTTTAAGAAATAACAGGAATTTATTTATCCATTTATTTAGAATTTTAAAAATGAATTAAATTTTATGCTTCATGAATATGAATCATAAATTTAATAAAATTAGGTAAAATGAATGTTAACTATTTATGCTTGAAAATTTAAATTTATAATAATTAAAGGAAACATTTTTTTTTGTTTCTTCAGCCATATATGTGCAACATAAACTTTTGCAATTAATTACTGATTACCCAGAAAATTATTCAAAAGTTTAGCTCTTAAACCAATTTAAAATTAAGTTTATAATATATAATTTACTTTAAATGCAAAATGTAAAATCAACATTAAATTATATATTCATTTAAATCAATCAAACAACCTTATTAAATAGACTTATATAACCATTCTGCATGAATTATTTTAATATTAGGGTTTGAATTGATTATTGTTTATGCAGTTGTCTTTAACATGATCTTCATTACTATCAATATATCACAAAATTCTTTTTAAGTTATCTAATATAATTAAATATTTATACTTTTCCTCCAAAGTTTTAGATCAATTATTCTAATCCTTATCTAAGATTTTGATTAATTGTTTTTTATGAGGAAGTCTTTGGTTTTGAAAAATATACATAAAAGTTATAAGGGAATAATATTTCTATTGTAATAATATTATTAATACTTTTTTACATATTGTAATTCAAAAGATATTAATTATAGGATATCTCTTTTTTTTAATTTTATTATTATTTAATAATCCATTTTTAGGAAATAATCTTTGTTTATTTATTTAAACAACAACAACAGAAAATCAAATCATATATTAATTTATCTTCATTAATAATTAGTATATCACATTTAATTTTCATATCTTCTTCTATAATTAATTAATACTAATCTCTTTATTATAAATTAAATTTACTTCATATTTATTTAATCAAATAAATTCAATATGTTAAAATCACATGATTTATGTAAAACCAAAGTGAATTTTTAGTCAATTTATTATAGTTTTGATTTTTAATTTTTAGAACTTTTCTTAGATAATAATTATGAGTTCATTTTTTATGAAACTTCTAATTATTCTGTCTCTAATTCTTCATGTATTAGTTCTTTTTTATTTTGATCAAGAATATTTTTAGATTATTATTTATAATTAGAAATTGACACATAAGATTTATTGATGTTTTTAGATATTTGCTATAATTGACTCTTGAATTAACTAAAAATGTGTCTAGTTTTAAATTCATTAATTTCTTCTTCCTCTTCTTAAATTTATTGATTTGATTGCTTTCCTTTCTTTTAATGAACTTTCTATATAAATTTATAAAATACATCTTTCTTAAGTAATTCTTGAATCTCTTAGGAAGTTAATTCAATAATTGGAAAATTTGAAGCATCAACTTCCCTCTTTTTAGTTAAACATCTAAAATAACTATTATGTTTACTCATTAACCCACATAGGATTAACTATTTTGATATTCCATTCCTTTGCTTTTTCTAATGTACTCAAAAAACCATCTAAATTTTTAATAGGAAATTACATTGCCAAATTAGATAATGAGTATGTTTACTTAATTTTTTTACTATTGTAGCACCTAGAGCATATAGAATCTCAGATTCACAATCTGATTGATTACGATCATTTTATTAAGGACCTGAATATATTTCCACATAAATTTTCTAAATTTTAGATTTGATTAGATACTTTTTTAGTTAAACATTA